CCATATCCATGTGAAATCAAGCCTGAATTTCTTGTACACCAGCAAGCTGGCAGCAACCCTGTAGCAGGAACTAAAACTGCAGCTACTCTGACTTTCTGTGCTTTACAGAGGTTATATGAAAATAAATGTCTCTTTTGGTGGAGGCTCACAGGGTGGGTTTTATATGTCCAAGGGCCAGTCTCCAACTGAAAGTGCTGAGTGGTTGAAGATATCTGTATTTGGGTACGTAAGTGGTAATTTAGGTAGTTCTCTGTGGCATTGGTCTTTGCTTTCTACATTCTGCAAGAGAGCTGAAGTATGTTTCAGAGGCTTGTTTCAACACTGAAGCTCTGTTGGGAGAGCAAAATGCCATCCCCAGCAGCTCTGTTATGTAAAAGCAGAGAACCAGGACTGTGGCTGAAATTTTTAAATTTTAATCTCAATTTTGCTAAATATGAGAGCAATAGTAGCCAATTGCTATGTATCACTGTTGCTTGACTATAGAATGAGTCTAGGAAAACCAAATGTCTTTACCAGTTGGCTGGCATCACATATCCCAAACATGAGCTCCTCTCTAAGTGAACTGCAGAGTTATAGATGTCATTTTACCATTCTGAGTAAGCGGGACAATATTGTGCCTCCCAAAAGTTTAATCTTCAGTCTCACAGATTAGAAGCTTTCTTTTCTTTTCTTTTCTTTTCTTTTCTTTTCTTTTCTTTTCTTTTCTTTTCTTTTCTTTTCTTTTCTTTTCTTTTCTTTTCTTTTTTTTCTTTTTTTTTCTTTTTTTTTCTTTTTTTTTTCACAAAGGCTCATAGCAGCTCACAAGAGCCAGTGGAAATTTTGCCACTGACTTACATCAGGAGCTCTTCAAAGCCCTGCTGCAGCTTGCACACCTGAAAGAGATGACTTGCAAAGTTAAATTCAAAGATATGAGGATGCAGTTCATTCTTCATGAACAACAGCTCCAGGGCTGTTTTCTGCCTAAATGAAATATTCATTGTGTGGATTTTGTCCTGGCCTATGGGTAGGAGTTGATGCTGCAATTAACTGCACAGGTTATCTGGACCATCATTCCAACCTGAATGTGCTGTGCCATTGGGCTTCCAGTGGGCACCAAGGAGGATGAAATTTTCAAAATTGTGCAGTGGGAGCTGAGTACTAGTTGCACCTTGAATAATTTTTTTGCTTGCTTCAATAATTTTTGTCTCTAATTTTTGCTTTTCCATTATTATTGTCTCAAATTTAAAAATAAATAGGTCAGTAGATGCATGATGATACAGAAAAAAAAATTCATGTTTATAAAGAAATACAGTTAACAGAAAATCACTATGGCTGCTTTCAAAACAAAAAATTCTGGTTCCAAAGATTCTGCAATTTTTAGGAGATTTCTTACCCTTAAAGTAATGTAGAACTACAAAGATTTTTCAAGCAGAAATTTTCACCAGAGTCAATTTTTCTATTATTGTTGTAATATATTTTGGGATTTTTAAGAAATTTAGAGCTTTCCAGCAGGAGAAAAAGTGTAAATAAAACCAAGAATGGTAATTTTTAGCTCATCTTTTTAGAGAATCTGCCCTCATTTGTTGTTCTGAACTCAGTTTGTACAATTTGGGTTTTTTCTTAGTTTTTCATTTAGTCTTGGAAGTTTGCAGACAGAGAGCGCTCTCCTAGATTGCTGTTTTGCCCATGTGGGTAACTTGATGAGCTAGCATGTGCATTTATATTAAGAGATGTGAGCCTCAACATTTTCTGAAAAAGAGCAGTGTGGTGCAGTCAAGTGCCCTGTTGAGAGATCTTTCCTTATCTATTATTACCCCAGATTTGCTTATTGTTATAATCATTCAATAATCGCTAATTTTTGTGCATTAAGGGAAAATATTTTCTCTCCCATTTCATTACTCATGATATTCCAATACTTGAAACTGATTTTCATACCCCCTAGCTCCATAGCTTTAATTTAACTATGCATTAATCTTTTAATCTTTACCCATAAATCACAATGTCCTGTTCTTTAAAATTTTGTTCCTCTTTTCTAAAAATTCCCTGTATTTTTATGATACAGACTTTTCAGAAACAGAAACACAATATTTTAGATGTTGTCTCAGTGGTATACTCATTGAGGTTTGGTTGTGCTGGAGGTAAATAATACCATGTTCTTTGTTCTACTATAAAATGTTAATTGTAACGTGCAGCTGAAATGAGTATTTTGTTGCTTCTTTTCTTGTTAGCATTGGATGCTCATGATATAAAATAGATCCTGCTGACAGAATCCAGCACGGTCTTCAACTGTGAACCATTGTGATAGGGAAATTTCACTTTCCTCCACCAGCCACTGGTGAAGCAGACACACTGCACTTGTTCTTGGAGAACTTGGAGAACCCTGAGCATCATTTTGCCTCATTTCTCACTGCCCAAATGTCTGCAAAAGGAGATGATATGAGACTGTATGTTAGCTGTGCGTAGATAGCTGTAAAGATACAGCTCTGTGTCTTTAGGTATCTGTCCATGGAAATCTCCAATATCACCTGCATGTCAGTTGAACATCACTGATGATCCAGAGGTAAAGTTTTGTTAAGTTTTCCTTCAAAGAAATTAATTAGATACATGTGACATGTAAATGCACAATTGGTTTTACTGGTTGAATATTGTCTCCTTAGGTAGAGATTTGAAACAGTGTGCACACTGTGCACAACGTTTGCAATCAAATATTTACAGCTACCCTTACAAAGAGTAACTTTGCTGCCAGAGGTGGAAAAGGGCACCAATTTTTATTTAAATTCGGGCTTTCTTCTCTATTGTGAATAATTTTCAGGCATAACCGCATTTCTGTAAACTTGTTTGTTATTAAAGATTGTGTTGGAAGACCCTTCTGGGTATGTACTGTAGCTCTGTGGCAGCAATTTGTGTTCCAAAAAATCAAAATTTTAAACATGTTAGTGTGACTACATTGCTATGGGAACATAAAAATGCTTCTACAAGCTAGGGCAAGAGTGGCTTCAGAGCTGTTTGGCAGAAAGGGACCTGGGCATGCTGGTTGACATTCAGTTCAGTATAAGCCAGCAGTGTGCCTAGGTGGCCAAAAGACCAATGGCATCCCAGCCTGTATCAAAAACAATGTGGCCAGCAGGACCAGGGAAGTGTCCATCCCCCTGGACATGGTACTGGTGATGCCACACGTCAAGTGCTGCATTCAGCTCTGGGCCCCTCACTTTAAAAAGGTCATAGTTCCATCTGGATCTGGCACTGGGTGATATGGTTTAGTAATTTAGGGGTTACAGTGATAGTGCTGGGTGAAAGTTGGACTTGATGATCTTAAAGGTCTCTTCCTGCCTTGACAAATCTATGATTCCATGGTGCTAAGTACATCAGTGACCAAGGTCTTTGATGCACACAGAGAACTTGTCATAAATGCATTCACTCTTGTTAGCCCTTCAGAAAACTCAGACTTCTATCCTTCTCAGGAGGCACACACTTCTTACAGAAGCTATGCTCTCTCTTGAAAATTATGCTTCAGCAATCACATCTTCTAGTCTTCACCTCTTCTTTTTCTCATCTTTTTCAAAATTCATCTTTACCACTGGCTAGCTAGCCCCACCCAAATTGTTCACTCTTTATTCTCCTTTTGTCCCTCGTAAGCATGACTAATCTGTAGCACACAAATTCTTTGCATATGGTTTTGGAATTGTTTAAAAAGCTAAGAGGGAAGAGGGTAATTACAGACAGGTACTGTTGAGGAAAAATTCTTTGTCTGTGTTTCCAGAGAGCAACCCCAATACCACGCAGCAGAGTCGGAGCTTTTGAGGAACTGGAGGTCTTTCCATTCAACTAATGGATTCCTACAGTCCTGTTGAGATGGTCAGTGTGATGGTGCAATCAGGGTTGACAGATGCCCAGTGCCTCCCAAAGCAGTGATTTTGTTTCATCTAAAGAGATAAAAAGCAATACTGCCTGACACAGCAAGGTCTTTGGAGCCTTTCTTAGCAGGATACATCTTTCTACACTTTGCTCTTAAGCGCTCAGTATCCCATGGCAACCTCTTTTCTTCAGGGAGCTTTAGATTTTGACATATCATTAATACATGAGTTGAGGAAGCAACGCTGCAAAGCTGGAGATTGGTTCATGGATTTAGCTGAGGTAAATAGCAAGGAAATTTAAAGGCAGGCTGAAACCAATTTTATGGTACTTCCTGTGGGATTAATGCCTAAATTTGTTTGTCTGGTAATGAAGCAAAGTTATCACCTGCAGGTGCAGGTAGAAATTGCAGAGGAAAGGTGTTTTTAAAAAGGAGAGCTGCAAGATAAAACCAAACACTTTTTAAAACACTAATATATTTTAAAGCACTAGCTGCTAATTGAAGAAGAGGGCTAGTGAAATTGATTCAGTATGAAAGTACTGTGACCTGCTTGACTACAGAATAGATATTATTGAGAGGACAGAGAGACCACTGGGGGGAAAAAAGGTATGGTGAAGTATAAGCTACATATATTGACGTATACTTTGGTACAAAACAGACTGAAACACTTGAAATTACAACTGATTCAATTAATCCTTTTAGTATGTTGGGTCTTCATCTCCTGGAGGGTAATTGTTTGCTTTCTGGCTACCGGTTGCTCCAGCAGCCAGCAAAATATGAGATAAAAATTTAAAAAGAAAATATGGGGATTATAAAGAGTAACCACTACGTACACTGACTGTACTGTTCAGGAACACTCATTGACTAACCTCAAACTTTAATTTCTGTCATGCTCAGAATCTGATGATTGACCACCAGCATCCAAAACCCCTTTCCTCTAGAACACACAGGTCTTTGCTTAGCAAGAAAAATGCAAGGGTGTTAGCACCTCCATATACTTATTGACTGCCCATGGTGGGTTATATTAATATTTGGATTATATGAGGAGGAAAGTTCCATCCATACAGGCATGGAACCAGATTCTTATTTTATTTATGAGATGCAGATCTTTTCCCACAAGATGCTTGCTTATTGACCTGAAGACAATTTCTGAAGTGAAAAACAGATCAACAAAAGAATACGGGGACATAAAATACATTCATGAATTTTATCTGCTGTTTTCTCTTGGTGCAAATTTGGAAGAATACGGCTTCAGATTTAAAATATAGTTGTTTGGGGTTGTGGGTAGACGTAACTCAGGATGAAACTCAAGAACTTCAAAAAGCAATACCTTGTGGAATAATGTTACATGGACTTGGTAGAAGTTCATTTATTCCAGAGTAGACATGAAAAGGAACCTGTATGCTTCATCTGGAGAGAATAGAGGATAGGTTGCATAAATACTTTACTCATATGTCTTATTTTACCAACTCTGACACAAAACAAGATGTCTGAATGCAGTTTGCAAGGACAAGCTTCTTCTGCTCATACTTTATTGCAAGGACATGTCTGGAGTTGCTGATCTAGTAAATCAAGCAGAAGGTCCTGCTTTGTTATTTGTGATTAATAGTTTAAATGTAAAATGATGATCATTTGGATTGACATTAGTAACTTCAGTTAGGAGATAGCATTAGCAAAAACCATTCTCTCTGAATGCACTTGAGATACAGAACATCTGAGAAACAGTAAAAATAGCATTTTAGACATTGAACTTTCTAAATTAGATCTGATATTTTGCATTAGTTCTTCAGCCTTAAATTTTATAAATACATCTAGAAGATTCCAGGAGATAAATGTCATCATATGTTGTGATCTCTCGCCCAGTGTAATTTTCCTTAGGACAAAATCATGTTTTAGACAGTAGCACAGTGAATTTGTCCATGTCCAGCCTGAAATCTCTACTTTCAGATGGCAGGGAAAGATGACAGGGTGCCACTTGCTGGAGTATTCAAGAAGCCTGTTGGAAAAAAAAGAAAACCAGCAGTATTAAAAGGGAATTTCTGTATGAAAAGTCTTACCTAAGCTAGCATTTGTCTTTATTGATCCTGAAAAAATTATGTGTCTAGTCAGAGAAATGACTCCAGCAGACACGAGATCCCCTCTAGAAGCTGTAGAAATGTTGTGGCTCTTCAGAAAGAAGAGCCTTAGTAGTGCTGGGCACTTATGCAGATGAAGGGTTACTGCTGGTTTTTCTTCAATTCACCATATCTGTGTATCTAGTGCACCATTTAGAACACTCAACATGTTTTTTTGCACAATGTTGTCTATTTGTGTAGCCACAGTGACACAGCATGACTTGTTCATTACTCATACACAAACTTTTAGTGATTAAATCTGCTGATTCTAGGAGGGTTTACTGCAAGACATGTAGGTGTAGTTTTTCCTTAAATCTATAGTTCTTGTGAGAAGCCAATAGAAGAAACTTGATAGTCTTCATGATGGCAGGGGAAAGTGGGGAAATATGGCCTTGCTTCATTTTGGAGGTTCAAAGCCACATTTAAAACTTACTATTTTATGATTACACAGCTTGTGGTTGACTATTAATTATTGTCCTGTTTGGAGCTGATGATGGAAATGAGATCCTCAGCTGCAGATGGGGGCTGTAAATGCAACTTTGAAATAAGCAACAACAGCTACAGTAACCTGAGATGTGTTGTCCTCAGAACATTAGAGGTGCCCTACCTGTGGTGGCTGTCATGGTTCAGCAATTACCCTTCTTTCCATGTTCTCCAAGGAGTGACCTCTCACAAAACAGATGGAAAAAGATACAAATCCTTCCAGCTTTGGGGAGTGGCAGCTTTTATATGCACAGATGGAATGTTCAGGCCTGACCTAATGAGGTGTGGGGAAAGAGAGATTCACAGAGACTGTGGATTGCTTGGGTGTTTGTGAAAGATGTGAGACTAAAATGAAGATTGACTTAGATCTTGATTTATAAAAATGTGCTCTCATATACTTTAATATGTCTCTAAAATACATTCCTCGGGTATTTTATTCAGCCAGACTTCCTGCTGTTGAAATATATGTAAATGACAAAAGGCCCAGAAAAATTGCAACAACTGACAAAAATCAGTGTAAGTATGCTAGTTTTGTCAACCCATCAATATGAATTGTCTGTACAGGAGAAGCTTCTTTGCTTTTTATAAGGGTGGTAACAAGCAACCTCCTACGGGCCTTGATCACATTAACATCAAACAATCACACAGTTACTGGGGATAAAGAAGGTGCAGCTGTGGGCAAGTAGAGCATTTCATGTCTTGGTTTTTTTTAAGAGTCGGGTTCCATGTCAGACACAGCACAAACAACAATAAAAAAGGGGCTCTCAGCTGTGACCAGGCTTAGGTGAACTGAATGGCTGCAGATGGCCTCATAAATAAGAAAAGAAGTGATAAAAGCATCTTCAACTATCCTTTCTGTATTAAGAGACATATACTTGAATGGGTCTTGCTGTCTTCATTAATTTTAGTTTCCCAAACACAGTATATGGCTGAAACTCCCTTGTGATATGACTGGTAATTTTTAATTTTAAAATTAATTTTAAAAGTACTGAAATGCAAGCACATAGAAGGGGTGAGAATGATGATGTGTCACATACTTTACTTCATCCCTCACCACTTCCTACCATTGGAGATTCTCAAATAAATGTTGTTACATTAATACCTGTAATTAGTGCTATTTTTCATTTGACTGAAAGCTGCTCACAGATTAAGCAGAATAAAGATGCTGATGCTTGTTGCTCACACAGAAGTGGCAGCTGGAAGATGCCATACATGCCCAGGAATAGGGAAAGGCTGATGATTCAAGCAGCTGTCCTGCCATGGTCCTACTTCACTTCCCTGGTCCTCAGAACCTGATCAATTAGGAGCAGTTAAGCAAGCACTTAACTGTTAATATCTTCTGTATGCTTTCTCCACCCTCATTAATTCATATTTCCTTTCTGATACTTCTTTGAGGCAAAAGGGAGCATGTGCTGTGTGTGGTGTAGCACTTCATCAGCTGGGACTGTCCCTCCAGTGGATTCCCATTTGGGTAACTGCCTGAGGCTCACTGTCTCTCAGATATTTTTGCAGCAAAGCACAACTAGATCAAAGAAAGATAGCAAAACACAATGGTTGGTGTAAAAGTTATTTTCATTGGTTCTACACATCCTTCTGATCTCTCTGAACTGCTCAGCTTCATAGTACTCCTTGTTCCCAGGTGCTCTTCTCCTTGTGCTGCCTGGGCAGTGACAGGACGAGAGATATTTTCTGCTCTGAACACAGGATGTGTGTGGCCTTTCTCTATGGATGAATATGCTCATTATCTCTATTTATTATTATATTAGTCCCCAAGTCTGAAGCAAGCTCAGAAACTAGGAAACAAAATATTTAAAACTATTCAAAATACCAAAATATTTAAATTTGGGGTGGCTGCTGCATTTGGTCTTAAGAATTTTATGGGTTTTTTTAAACAAGTAAGCAGTATGCTTGTGGCACAAATGAGCAATGCAAGATGTCCAGGCAGGGTTAGTATCTTCCATTAAATCACTAATGAAGTCAGAAGAATGGACAGGATTTTGGCAGCATGGTCCTTTAGCTATGTAAAATATACAAATGAGTATGCAATAAGGAGTGTATTTGGCAAGATGTTTTATGCTTTAGTTTTATCTTTTTCTATATTTTAGTAGGCCAAGATTTAAGCAAAGGTAGAATAAAATCCTATTTCTGCCTGACAGAACCTCATCCTCTAATAGCTTCATTTTTTCAATACCTCCTTCAACATATATGGCCCCTACGTGTTTATGATTTTACCTATAACATGACTGAGTTACCTGTGCACGTAACAACACCTCAGTGCAATTTTACAGAATTCTGATAGTTATGAAAATCTGCCTACAATTTATAGCCTGTTTGCAGGAAAGGTATAATTTTGTCTGTATCTTAGATGCACAGAACCAGAAACTTAAACAGAATTTTTAAAAGGAAGCCTGTAACTACTTTCTTAAACACATATAATTGAAAACATAGACTTGGGCTCAAGTGTTGATTTAAATGAGATATCATCATCAGAAAGGCCCTGGCAGTTAAGCCATTTTATGCTCTAATATTCCTCAGTGGTCACATTCAGTCTATGATCCAGACAAAGGCAAAGAGGAAGAGGTATACAGAAGGGAAATAACAGTTATCTTCATGTGTCTAGTCATTCCTTTCTCTCAAAGGTATCATTGAGCAGGATCATCTTCATTATTCTTCATATACTTTTAATATTAGAACAGTTGTCACAGAAAGACTTTTAAATTATACTCTATCTGTTACTGCATCTTTTTTTCTTATATGATGTTCACTGTCTCAAGCTGTCAGTTAGTTTGGCAGAAGACATTTTTCATGTCTGATCTTTTCAATGACTTTATCATTTACCTTCACCCTCTCACAAAGGTCTTTGGAGTAGTCACAGTTAAACATGCTTAGGATTTCTTAGAGTTCAGGAGAGAGAAGACAGGTAGCAGAATTAAAACAGCAATGAGAAATCAATATTACAGTGCTGGACTCCTGAAGATCTATGGACCAGGGAATCAGGAATTCTCTGAGGTGCTGTGCAAACACTGCACTCCCTCTACACAAGTGCTCTGCCCTGTAGGTTTCCTCAAAGAGCTGGATAGGAAACAAAGCCAGAAGGTCATTTTCTGCTCTCCTGCAGGCATGAAGGCATTCATCTCAAGGCCAGGGCTTTGTCTGTGTTGTGTCAGCACTTCATCACATTTCATTTCTTTCCCTGTCTCTCCTACCTGTGTGTGTGGTCAGAAATGTTTGGAAAAAAAATATAGCTTCTGCTTCCTGACTCTTGTCCTTAAGCATGGCAGATGGCAGCTCAATTTCAGAGCATGCTGCAGCAGACTTTGATTAACAGTTAGCAAGCATGGGTGTTCAGGCTTTGCTTCCAGTCGTTTGGCAGTTCCCCATTATTAATTGTTGCTGTTGTCACTAAAGTCCTTTTGCTGAATCGGCCAAAGCAAATTCCACGGTGACAGACTTACAAGGGGGGAGTATAGCTTTACATAGAAAAGAGTAAGATCCTGGTATGTATCACAGATAATTTAACATCTGTTCATGTATTTTATCTGTGGTAATTACCTTTTGTTAACCAAAGTCTTAGTTTTTGAGACAAATAATTGCATCATCATTGGAAAATAATGTCTTCAGTATACTTTACTCCAAGTCTAGTTCCAGTTTCTTTTGAAGCACCCTGTGACACCCCATATAACTGATTTTCTGGATGGTTATAAGATGATGCTGACAGCCTTGTGAGAGTCCTTCTTCAAGCTCTGCATAGTGGTAGCTGATAATTTTATGAAAATAAAAGGGACAGTGTAAGACTGGGGGAAAATCGGGGAGCTATAAAGTTATTCTTGAGACTGGACCTCTAGAATGAGCACAAATAATGCCAGAAATATTACCCAGGAGGTTATTTAACATCTGTCCTGCCCTAAAGACTCAACTCTTGCTCATTCTTCATAAAGCTATTTATCTCTCTGTGGAGTTTAATAGCTCCAGGGTTTATGGTTATTTTTAGAGAAAACGTAATGCAAATGTCACCTGCTTTCTCTCCCTCACCAGTATTTCTCTCCAATGTACTGTGCCACTGATTGCAAAGCTTAATGCTGATGGATGCTTGTACAGTCCAATGTGATTTCCTACCCTTTTTTTACTAAAGCTATTCCCATTCAGAGGAATGGGCTGACAGAAGTGTCCTCCTAGAGTTCCTCAAAGTTATATGGCAGCTGTTGTGGAGCAACCACAGAAGTGGTATTTGTAGACTGTTTTGGGGTTTCTCATGCCAGGAGCACAGCAAGCTCCAGCAGTGGCATCTGTGCTGCTAAGGATCTTGCAAACGGCTCCCAGCTTTCCCCTCTGGATTAATTTCATAGATATTGTGAGGTGCAGCATGAACCATGAAAGTTTGTGGTTTTCTTACATGCAG